CGGCGAAGCCCCGGCGCGGCTGGGCGTCTTGCTGTTCACCGCTCACCTGCCGCTGTCGGCTTGTGTTGGGTCTGTCAGGTGATGGGTTTGCGGAGGCAGGAGCAGGCCGTGCGAGCCCTGTGCCATGAGGCCCTTCGGTGCTACTGGACAGCTTTCTGTAGCGCCATCGTGTTTCCAGACCTGCTTCCGAAATAGTTTAGAACTTCACTAATTTTGCCTGTAGTTATTGTTCACTGCCAGCAGCATCTGCTCATGATCGCAAAACGCCTTAAGTGTGAGCTGTCACATTTTTGGAGGGTATGCTTTTCTGTTGTTTTATTGCCCTTTCCGTGTCTGTGATGCAGCCGTGATACCCGTGCTCTTTAATGGTAAGTTGTTTCCCATAAACACTGCCATTTCAGTTGCAGCGCTTCACTTGCGTTCTCTCTTAACTTAGTGGTTGCATTGTGCTTGAGAATAACTGCTTCTATGATGCTCACTGTGATGTATGTGTTAATGCCACTTCAGTGAGACTTCTAACACTTCAGTAGTGAGGAAAGCAGCTGGAGTAATACAGGTGCCCTTCACAGTGCAGGCAGATTGCAAAATCCGCAGTGTTGGTGTCCATCGCTGTTTCTCTGAAGTCATGGTCTCCACAGTATTCCTTAGCTGAAATTGTGAAACTGTGATTTTCAGGTATCTTTTTAAGGAAGAGTCAATAGAGGATGTGCTGATACATAGCTGTCTTATATGTTTAGTCATAAGTTGTATTAAAACAATGCCAAGGAGAGGAATGTGTACTTGAAGGAGTGTTCTTCACCAGTGTTTGGAGCTTGTGGGGTGAAACTTCAGGTTCAGTGAACAGCTGAACTGAGTAGTCTTTTGCTGATATAAAGCTCTTGCTCGGGACATCTACTAGTGGTTAAGTTGGTGGAACAGGTCTGTAAGTGCCAAACCGGGCCTTTTGGTGCCCCAGTCCATTATTCTGAAGTATATGACGTTATGCATTTTGGGACAGGCTTACTTGAATTGTGAGAAACAATGGAGGGAAGAGAAGGTTGTGTGATTTGGAGAGTGGTGTGCTGATCTCGGTTAAGCAGGAACACTGAAAGAATCTAATCTGGTAACACATCTGAGTGGACGCTGCCAAGTGGCCAGTTGCTTTTTCGCTGGAGATTATTACCAAGACCCTCACAGGTGTTTGATAGGCTACTGTGAGTGAAATGTTGCATTCACATACGATTATTAGCAGGAGACTGCTTTGGGTGGGAGGAAAGTGTCAGACAATTGGGTTTTGAAATGACTGGTTTGAGCTGAAGAGTATAAAAGTGTACCACAGGGCTCTATAAAAAGTTTAAATTTAGCTACTAGTAACCTTAGGTATGGGTAGGCAAAAATGGAATGACGGTGGAAGGATCCTTCCTTTCTGTAGTTCTTGGGTTAAAATTTGCTTATAGAGTGATCGATTGGTCTGGATGATAAGCTGTAAAATTCCTGCATGATACAGAAGGCTTTCAGCCTACTTCGGATCTGCTCAGAAAAGATTATTTCTTCAGTGCTTCTGTGTTTCCTGAATGTTTCACTCTGTGAGCCGTGTCTGCCATTGAATCCATGCGGTCTTGCCTGTGGGATGGCTGATAAAATTATGTAGTTTCTTGTATAATAGTGAATCCTTGCAGCATATAATTATGGTAAATTTTTGGTAGAATCTATGGTTTTGTTCACTGTGTACGGAGGCCAGCTTCATTTAAAGTAACTTTTCTACATATCCATAGCAGGGATAAATAAGCATGCTGTGTGCCAAGAGTTGCACAATGTGTTGCCTTAGCTATCTTACAGTAAGTATTATCAGATGGCTTGTAATCAATTCCTAATTCCTTTGCACTTCTCAATACTTCGAATTACTGATGAATAACGCTGTAGGAGGGAGTTCTTAGTAGGAGGTGTGTGTGTGTGATGTAGACATTTTTGGTGTCCACCAAGTCTTGTTTCCCTAAGCAGGTGGATAGAAAGAAATTACGAGAAAGCTTTAACTAACAGTATAGTGCCTCTGTCTGGGCCTTCTAGTTTTTCACTAAGAGCCAAAGCATGCCTGCTAAATTGATAATGTGTTCTTCTAGGACTTGAATTATCATTTTAATCAAGGTTGCTGGCAGTTAGCAGTCTGTTGTTACTGAGATTTCCTTCTTCCCCCTGCTGCTCTCCCCCTCCCCAATTTCCTTATCTGGAAAAATCTCTAGCAGTAATGGATCTGAATGTCAATTTATTGATGCTTGTCTATGTACCCAAAAATGCAGTTTCTGAGGTCGTTTTTTGAGGTTCTTTTGTTAAACACAGCATTATCTGTGACCTTTCCAAATTGTCAGCCACTTACTCACAGATGTACACTCCTCTAAAGGAGTGTAGAAACCCTAATTTTATATAATGCACATGATGAGAAGTCGATTTGCCACCGTGTTGTCTGAGTAGAGATCTGTGGCTAGGATCCATTCTGCTTCCATTTTGTCCTTCTGTGTTTTTTTCCTGGTAGAGATGTGGGACCTGTAGAGGCTGGGGCAAAAAATGCTGCTGTAAAAGCTAAATGTTGTTGTGTGGACCAGGCTCCATACAAACGAGGAGTTGCTGCTGCCAGCATTAAGGCCGTACAAGAGAAAGAGGTAGGCTTGAAGGCGTGACACTGCCCGCTACATGATGCACAGCAGCATTCTTCCGTGCCCACCCATGGAACTTGTTCAGGGGATGTTGGAATTGAATTTTGGCCCTGCACCTGTGGTCACTGAACTGTCCTGGCATACAGTCTTCTAGCTTGAAGGGTGTAACTGTGCACAAATCTTTCCCCCTCAGAGTTCAGAGAAACGGTGTATTTCTTTGTAATTTTCCTGTTCTCTTACAGTGGGATTTGACTGAGAGGCAATGCCTGAGATATGCTCTGATGAGCAAAACTGGGTACTAGCCCAGGTGGATGCTGTCTTTTTCCCAGCAAAAGTTGTCTGCTGGATACATGTAGTTCAGATTTGCTAAATTAACTGTAGAGAATGTAGCAGCTATCCCTTCTTATTCGTTTGGACATTTTCCATTTCATAGCTTTTCCTTAGTTTTCCCAATTTCACAGTATGCATTCCATTCGCGTTTTGTTTTCCTTCATAGATACTGTGTAGGATTTTGTCGTTGTGTCATTCCCCTGCTGATGGCCTGAAAACTCAGGTTCTCTGGTTACTTCTCGTGTCTGCTGTTGTTTTCAGCTTCTCGCTTCTGAATGTTAATAAAGAAGTCGGAAACACCCATTTCTATGGTGAAGTTTTCCATTAGCTTCTATGTGGCTGTTGGTAAAATTTGTTGATGACTTTTTTTATTCACTCTTTTGTTGTTTTCTAGGAATGGTTTCTAACTGGACCAAAATTCCACCTCCACTTTTCAAAAAAGTTGTCATTGTGCTGATAGATGCTTTGAGGGACGACTTTGTGTTTGGGTCCAAAGGTAAACAGTTCATGCCGTATACTACACAAGTTGTTGAAAAAGGGACATCCTACAGTTTCGTTGCTCAAGTGAAGCCACCCACTGTGACTATGCCTCGAATAAAGGTAAGTGGGTTTTTTCCGCCTAGGGTTGTTTCATTTGAGACGGTTTTGAAGTCTGAGTTGTTTCATGTGCTCGGAGTTGGCATATAGGGCAGGTTTGCTGTGTTACTGCAATTTGTGGCTGAAACTTGCTTTGCTGTAGTAGTGTCTGTGATGGTCCTGATTTGCCACGGCCTAGACGGCCTAGAGGTGCTTCCTGCAGGGAAGGTCAGGCCAGGGATTGGAGAAAAGTAGAGAGGCTGAGTAAGAGGAGAGGTGGCAGCTTCCAACTAAGTCACTTCGCATTGTTTTGTTGCTTTATCTGGTAGCTCTGTGGTGGGAAGATCTGTGAGAATCAGTTAAGGGCAGTGAAGGCCCTACTGCAGGCTTAAATGATTGACATAATCTTTTAATTTGTAATCACAGGAAAGCAGTAGTGTCTCAGTTGTCAAATTTTCCAGTTTTTGTTGATATTTCTCTGTGTTCTTGTAATTTTTGTGATTTCTGATAGGAAACCCAGTTCAGTGTAGATTTGTTTTGTCATAGGGATGCTTTTGCAGATCTTAAAAAGAAAATTGTACCAGGTAACTAAAAGATCATCCAGGCTTCTCAGCGGTGTGTCTGAGTGACATTTCTTGCATTGAAGAAGATGGGGGGAGTGAGCTTTGGTAGATCAGCTAGAAGGCAGTGAGAGAGTGAGGGGGAGAACTCGATAGGTGGGTTTCATTGCATTTTCCAGAAAATTCTTAATTATTGGTTTGAATGTGCAACCATTGTTATTGTTGTGCTGTCAGTTTACCTTCTAAACCATCTTTTTGGTGATTTAATGACCAGTAAATGAGGTGGATTTCAACTGGCTTACAAAGTTGTTTTACTGTCCACTAATTCAGAAAATACCATTTTTACCTTCCTGTAAAGCATTTACTATCTCTGACATCAGAGATAGTGTTCTAACACTTTAGTATATTTCTTTATTGAAAGTATAACTCCCCTGCCTCACTACTTCCTTGTATAGTAATACTGTCTTCTGAGTACTGGAAACTTCTTGGCTTCTTTTAATTTGTCTCTTTGTGTGTTTCATGCAGGCTTTGATGACAGGTAGCATACCTGGTTTCATTGATGTTGTTGTGAACCTCAATTCTCCAGCTCTGTTGGATGACAATCTGATATGGCAGGCAAAAACAGCTGGGAAAAGAATAATCTTTTACGGTGATGATACTTGGGTTAAATTGTTTCCAAAGCATTTCGTGGAATATGATGGAACAACATCCTTTTTTGTGTCAGACTTTACAGAGGTGAGAGGCTTTGTACAATCCCATGTTAAATAATGTTAGTACAGATATTGGCAACCTCTAAGAATGAATGAGTAAAACTATCCTTTTTCTGAAATACAAACCTGGCAATTAAATAAGAATTGGATTTATATGTATTGGCAATGTGGAGCTAAGCATTTCAGTCCCTCATGCATATGCTGTGGGAATTGTTTGGATGCTACATTAGCAAACAAGACATTACTGTATAACATACAATATTCTCACAAGATGTTGTGGTAGGAAGTTAGACCACGTGCTTTGTTTAAAAATTACATTATCCATGTTTCCAGTTTGCTATCACAGTTACCTTGGTATGTGCCATCTTTAAAAAGGCCCATTAATGTGTAAACTTCATGCCTTAGAAGTATGCTTTCTATAGTATTGTATCCCTTTTGTAGTTGCAGTGTGAGTAGTATTTTATAAAGAGGGAGCATAGAAAGGAAATTAAACAAATTCTGAGAATTCTTATTTTGGGCACAAAATGGCTTGGCAATTTTGGTTCATATTTTGAAACTTTACGGTTTGTAAAACCTCAGGCCATTGACCTGTTGCTACTGACATAAATATTTTATTAACATGTTTGATGAAGTTCGATAGGTCTAACATGAATTAGAAGACACTTTTAATTAGTTACTCTAATAAGAATTGCAGAAGCTTCAGCATGAAGTGGAAAAATGCAAACATGCTGTTGGGTCTGGGCTTTATGGCTTTCAAGCTCTTTATGCAGTTTTTATGCTTTCTTAATATAGTTCATAAACCAGAAATAAATAAATTAAATAGTTATATCTGGAGTCAAATGTGGAATTTTGTAAGGATTTTTAACATCCAGGGAGAAATAGGTTAGCAACTTATTTTTAGCTGCATATAGGTAGGAGAACATGTGAGTTAGGCCCCAAGTAGCACTTTACAAATAATTTTTATTTCTTGCTCCATTCTTTTTCTCACAGCAAATAAAATCTTTTTGTGTTTGCACAGTAGCAAAAATTGAGGTGAAAGAGCAGGATTGGATTTTTTCCCCGTGTGCTTCCAAACACTGAAGAGGCTTTTCCCTGTACCTGCTTCTTGTGAAATGAAAGTGACGAAAATGTCTTGAAACAGTTTTTAAAGTATCACCGGAAGGATGGCAACCCACTTTCTCTATTTGCATGTAATCTGGTGCCTCCAAAGCAGAAAAGAGTGAAATGGGGGAAGAATCTGTTTTTAAGACAGAATTTTTCTGACTGCCTGGCATTGAACTAATCAAATTGATTTTTTTTTTTTCCTTAACATTCTGAGTGGCTGAAATTCCTACCAGCTTCTACAGAATTTTCATTTGTAGTACAACCTAATTTTTCTATGCTTTTTGCAAGAGGGAAATTATTTTTACCTTTTAATTGTTTTCCTTTTGTTTCTGAGGTTGATGATAATGTTACCCGTCATTTGGACAGAGTGTTAAAGAGAGAAGACTGGGATCTCCTAATACTACATTACCTGGGGTTAGACCATATTGGACATATGACTGGGCCAAACAGCCCATTAGTGGGACCAAAACTTCGTGAAATGGATAATATCCTGAAGAAGATTCATATTTCTCTTCTTTCAAAGGTAATATATCTCCTTCTTGTATCAGTGTCTGTTAGGTGTGGACTAATATTAAAATACTTGCTTGTTTGTCACTTGTTTACTTGTCACTTGTTTATTCCTGGATCAAAGCAGGTATTCTGTTCTTTTCCTTCCCTGGCTATTCCGCAGTTAACAGCATAGTGTAGCATTTTTACAGATTTACTGGCCAGCCTTAGTAACATCTGTTAACAGTCTGTTCTAAACATCTGTGGGAAATAACTCCTCCTTGGTGTGCAGGAAGAAGAGAGAAATGCATGCCAAAATTCTCTATCACTCATGAGGTGGTTGGCGTGCAATATAGTCATGAAATTCGGCAGAAGGAATAATGGGCATGTATAGCTAATGGCTCTGATTTCTGCAATTGTGAAGATGTACCGAATTCCTAGATATTGAAAAGATTCGCATGGAAATGGTGGTTGTAACCAGCGTTTTTCTTATGCCAAATGTAGCACATAACAGATTCTGCGATTTTTTAGATTTGGAAATATGGATGTCACTTATCTAAACAGTCTGGATGTTGAAATACCGAGTCCTAATTCCAAGTGGCCTGAAGCTTTTTTCTTGTTTGTTTCTGGCAACTGCAATTCAGAATAGCTGCTCATAAAATTTTAATAGTATTTCTAGACAAATGGATAGTAGTATATGAAAAGAGAGGTTAAATCCCACTTGTGGAAGTTATAATCTCATGAATGTTTGCAGTGGCTTGTTAGTATGTTTTGCTTTTGCCAAGTATATGCAAGCCTTTGTCTCAGTTTTGGCATAGAGAAATTATAAAATCACTTCACTTGTGAATACAGCAGGTACTGCTACTAACTAGAGATGACAAAAAGCTGCGTTTTTATGGAATGACAATATTTATTTTCAGCAGTCTTTGATTTATTAGCTCAAAATTATTGGGCAGGCCTCACTTAGCTTGTTTCTTCAGAAAAATAAATACTGTTTGACATCAGTCATGTCAGATTTCTACCCCAAAAGCACTGGAGAGACTGCAGACTGTTAGAAACAGGATTAACTTTTAATATTAAATTTCT